GGCATTATCATAAAGTTGTTCATTTAGAATCTGACGATATAAGTGGCGGTCAAGGTTTTCAGTAAAGACATATAGACTGACTTTTTCTTTAAAATTGATAGCACTTCAAACATGGACTTTAAAAGAGTGTTTTACCATAGGTTGGGCGGGCTTTTTTTCACGAGACCATGCCAACATCGTATTGCGAAACATCTGGAGAGTTGTTTCATCCGAAAAACCAACTTTCTTCCAGTTGTAACGTTCGTGATCACGTGCCCATAATAAGCGATTAGTCTCCGCTTGTTGTGTCAATAAAGGAACTTTTCTTGGAAGAATTGACATATAACCAAGGTGAGAAAGCTCACGACGGATAGTTCTATCACTAACATCAAAAGTTTGATACTTTTCTTCCAAGATAGCCTTCATTTCAGTAGTCGTTGTATAATAGTTGCTTTTGATGCTGGTGTCGTTTTTCTGAAGTTAATTTTCTTGGGCAACCAGATTTATGAATTTCGCGAAGTTTGCCACTTTTCTTTAATAAACTGACGTATCGTTGACATGTACGTAGTGGGATACCAGTTTTTCTTGAAATTTCTTTTGTAGTACGAATATTTTGCTGCCAAAGTAAGTTAACAATGGAGCGGTTTGTTTTCACAGGGTTTGGAAACATTTTACAACGCAAAATAAACAAAAGATGATAATAATGTTTACTGTTTATTTATTTATCTTTTATTTTTGTAACCTGAATTATTCGATTTGCTAACAAAACTAGTCTATATTGGGCGATTGACAGTGCTACGCGTATTTAGACAACGCGCCATTGTTTTCGCCGGGGAACTGTAAGTCAGAAACCATAACCCAGCCACTATCAAATTGTTCCAGCAAAAAAGTTTATCACTATACATATTAAAATTTTTTCTAAGATATTTAAATATATAGAGAGAAATGGGTAGGACTAATTCCAAGTATTTATTCATATCGGATTAAACCTAATGAAGAACAAAGCCTGTATTTAAATCGGTGGGTCGGACGTAGGTAACCTAGCCATGGCAAAGAAAATTTGTGTTGTACTTATAATTTTGGTAGAGAAGTGTATCATTGGTGGGTTTTCCACACAAAATTTTTAAGACGCGTTTTATATCATACTGTAATTAAAACTTTGTCCTATAAAAATGATTTTCGATCAACATACCATCAAGATCATAAATATTCGGCAAAGTCTTTCAAGAACATCCCGTTGGATAAGGCAGTTATTTAATGCCCATATTTCTTGCTGAACAACTTGAAGCGGGAATAAAAAAAAACCAAGTTACATTCCGCAACGGTCAAAAAAACACACACAATTCCTATGAACATGCTAACTCGATCGGAAAACCTAACTTGTTTTAAATTTGATCAATAAATTGAAAGGTAATTTTCGCGCATAACTTTTCACTCTGACGTTAAATTCCAGCAGTCAGAACATTTCCCGACATAACGCCTCAAGAAATAGTTATTCTTGAAAAATCCGTCAGACATACAAACTTCAAGTAGCTAAGGCTTTTGAAAGAAACTAGCTACCCTCTTAACAATACATGTTAACACGTGCTCTTGAAAAGTACACAGCGCTTTTTTTCAATTTTCATAAAAAAAGAAGAAAACTATAAGAAATAGGCTTCTATAGTAGTGGCGGGAAATAATAAGAATTTTGAATTTTTTATCTCAGTGCATTTATTTTACATAAATTACAAAAATAAAAATTTAGTAATCAACCTCGAATAAGACTTATCGCTATTATCCCATACCGATTAAACAATCATAAAAAGTCACTAATCCAATTAATTTATTTTTTGCAGAATACGTTGGTTTACCCTTTTTTCTACTCTTTTCTTCATTATTATCCGTAAGCTTTTTATAGGGTTTGGGTGAGGTAAATAAGAGGGTTAATCAAAAATTCCCTTTAAGTAGCTTCTCTGTCAACTTGGCTGTGTGCTTTCGATCTTTATCTTGTTGAAATTCATAATTTTCTATCAAGTTGATGTTAAAACTTCCCCAATAAAACAACAGCTTTCTGTGGAAAAAAAAAGGGCATCATTTCGCAATAATTTTTTTTTTGGGCTTTCCTGAACATAATTTGGTTCAATGAAAAAGTTGATTCTGAAAGTTTTTATACAAAGCGGATGTGTTATGAAGCTTAAATAGACCATGAATTCCATATTTTTTTCCCCCCCCCCACAAATTCTCGATATGTAAGTCAATTAGACATTTTTAATAGCAAAACTTATGAAAGAAAACAAAGGATGCCGCGCTGTTAGTTCAAATTTATTTTTATTTATACATTTGTTATCTGATGTAACATTCTATATATAAATTTTTCATAGTAAACATAACAGAGAGCGTTTAGCTAAAGTAATTTCTCATTATTTCCCGTCACTACTACTACTGTTCGCGCTTCTGTCAAGGTAAGCGGAAAATTGGCTGTATAATTTATTTTTCAGTAGTCAAGTGCGTGTGGAGAGTTCATTGGAAAACACACTTTATCGTATTCACGATTAGACAAACTATTACTATCGGCAATCCGGAAGTCAAGACAATTGCTAACCAAAATTCGATATATTCAAACCAGCTATTACTATGGCTTTTCGGTGGTGGCCTTAACTAAAGCCTCACGCACTTGATCGATTGGACAATAAAACAACAGAGTTACCTTCTCGTTTCTCATGACAAAAACACAAGAATTGCATTTGTATAGTTCTCTTCTTTTTTCATATCAAACTCGAAAAGCGCTCTGTTAGCCTATAATGCAGGTGTTGAAGCATGCATCGCCATAGCCTTTAAAAGCGTGGCTTTCGTGGTGGAATCAACGAAGTGTTCGAAACTGACTTTTTTCAAAAGCCTTAGCGATTTGAAGTTTGTAAGGTATTGCTATTCGGCAAAATGTAAAAAATTTACGCTGAACTGTGCATTCATTACTTAAACATAGCTATTATATAGTAAATAAATAATAAACGTAAGATCTTAATTAAATACATTATTTACAATACGTTCGAAGATGTTAAAAAAACCTCCGCATTCCCGATAAACTGTAAAATGAATCCACCTAGAATTAGTTAAAAGATTTAAAGAATGAAAATAAGTGTGTATCGTTTGACCAAAATATGCTTATTTTGTCACACTGTTTAAGTATGGGATAATTTATCACATTTATTCATCCATTTATCAAAGCATTTTATCATTAAAGTGTCATTCAGATTTACAGTATATAGTATAACCGAGTTATAGTTTTTTTTTATAATTAAACGTAAAAATTACATACTTTGTGTATTAAAGCAGTTCGTTATGATCCAGCAGCATAATCTGTTGGCCCACTTTATAGTGTTTATCTTTCTCAGCAATTATTTCAACTTGGCTCTTTTCTTGGAACACAAGGACAACATCAGAAAATAGCCTAACTCGTCACCTTTCTTTCCCTCAGCTCCTCTGCGAGTGGTGAATTGCACGGAGGACACTTGACTCATACCAACTGGTAAAAAAGTCACTTTTCCGACTTTTGGTGAATCGATTACAATCAGACCACGAGCCTGGCCCCGGATTGTCCAGACCCTCGAGTTCTATTTCTCGAGCAGGGCCAAGTCTCTGTGTGCCATCGGAACAACAACTTGGTAATAAGCCTGGCCGGGAATTCAAGCACTTTGTCACCAACAGGAGCTGAAAACGATGATAGTCGGATGGTGAGAGAAATGAATGCATAAATTTCCCATTGGCAAAGTCGTTCTCATATCGGCTGTTTGCAGTAACCCAAGTAAGGCCTTTTATATTGAAAGCGACAGTCGAATTTGGGTGTGATATCCCAAGAGCCATCAAAAGCTGAGTCTGCAGGGCTCACAATAACTACTGGATTAGAAGGGCCATCAATGGGTCGGGTTCCCGGCAAACGGCGTCGCGTAAAGAATTCATTGAAAGAATGCCCTAGCCAGCCTCCTTTGGGAGTCTCATAGGAATCCATATTTATATTTTAGTTTTTCGCTTTACAAAAAGTCTGCAGAGACTCCTTGGTAAGTGAGTGAGGTGTAGAGAGAAAGTCTCCTATAGCCGTGGCATAATCGGCTATCCTGTGCGAATAGCTTATTAATGATAGACGTATTCTAATTTTTATACACGAACATATTTCATCAGAACCCGATTTGACTTGAGCTTTATAATCATTCTGCAGATTAACGTCTTATCGTTTAAATACAGCTCAATGTTAACAAAAGAGTTGAGCTTCCCTTGTGGAAAATTAGCATTCGTAATTGATGACGATGATTCAAGCAAAATATTTGTAGCTCAACATACAAAACATTAAATCACTAGGAAACAGTTATGCTTGTAAAGACCGCCGTGGCAATGTATGATTTATCAATTATAAAATAACACACGTGAGTTAGATAAACAATACAAGTCACGATTTCATTATTCATATACGTACAATGAATATAATCTGGTGAATTATAAAAGTAACGAGCGTTAGTTAACCACTGATAAAAGTTTGAACAATAAACAACATGATTGGTATGGTAGAGTTTATAACCGGAATAAAATATAGTCTGGTTAAAATTATATTCGGTAAACGACATAATTATAGCGCTAAATAATTTACTTGCATTCTTGTCACTATTGAGCTATTGCTGCCAACTACTCAAGTATATACAGCAATGAGAATGGAAATAATGAAAGACAATGAACCATTATATTATTTTATTGTTACGACGTGTTTGCGCACTTTAAAAGCTACCGTTGAATTGGATAATTCTCTTAAGGTGGCAAAGAACAGGAGCTTTATTTTATCGACCCAGGTGGCAGTTTAAACCACGCCGATCGAGCAGTAATCGTCTTCTTTTTATTCACCACGTTGCGTGTCTACCAGCTAAAAATTCTAAGGGCTCAAGAATTGTTACTCTGCAAGTTTTCATCCACAATACCACGATTAGAACAAAAATGAATTACTCATCAAATGGTAGGTTGTAATGTTTTTATTTGTAGCAAAATTGTAAGAATAATTATGGTAACAAATCTCTTCCATGATGTAAAAAATATGGTAGGTTAAAGAGAAATAGAAATAGATGCTTTTTTGTAGTTGTTTAAAAGCTAAATTAAAATGGTATGGAGCTTGCATTGTTGCTTACCGAAAACTAAATTGTTAGAGTTTGTTGGGTAACTGGTAACTGGATAAAGGCCACTTTTAACAAACTTCCGCAGCAGAGACTCAACTAAGTTCCAAACATATGAATTACAAGATATATTTTATCATTTTTTTGTTACACACTGTAATACATACGAACAAATTGTACGACTTTATTATTCTCTCTCATGGTTCTGTTCTGTTTAGTTGACTATTCAGTTAGCAACAGCAGGGCTCCCCTATTCGCTTTGGTGCTTCTCTGGCGACTTCGCATTCTGAGAAGCGCTAGGACTGAAACCGGAGAAGGCACCGCGCTGGTACAGCAACGCCAAAAGTATAATGTTGATCGTAATCATGATCATATTCGTCTTCTCTGACAGAGAAAAGCCATGCTCGGCAGCGACGGTTGCAGCCTGCGTGCGGCGCGCCGCGCGCTTCGCTCTCGAGGACTTGTCGAAGATGCCCTGACAGCGAGTGATACCGAGGTGTTGAATTAAGAATTCGTTGACAAACTGGCACTGTGGATCCATAGACTGTTGGAGCTGCAAAAAATTCGATAGGTTGGGGTAGGTGAAGTTGGCGTAGTCGGCGCCGAACCAGGACATTTTGCCCCAGTGAGGGCGCACATTATAGAGGAGACCAAATTGAGGAATGAACTTCTGAGCGAGGGACTGGTAGAACCAAAGTTGTTGTAAGTCATGTACCAGTCTATTTCGATTACAGCGAAGATGCCGCTAAGATTCTGCCCGAGATTGTAGGTGTTGACAGGCGACATCCACGCATCATCGCCCTTCACAAAGCGCAATTCGTAGATCATATTCATGTTGTTGTAGGCCCCCATACTCGGTGCCTCGGCGAGTTGGAAATTAGTGTAATCTACTGCCGCCGCCACAAAATTTTCCACCGGGAGGAAGTGTTCGATCTCAGCATAGAAGAAGCGATTGCATACACCGCCGGGAGGCGTAGAGACGGCATCCGAGGCCTCATCGTAGCAAAAGTAGTCGCGCAAGCACTGACCGCAACCGTTGGCACAGTAATTTGTCGAACAATTATACACCCCAGTAACACTAGTGGGCTCCCAGTAAGTAACACTCATCTGCGAATCGATGGTCCAGTTTGAAGCCACGGGATCCCAGATCATGTGAGGACCCCGCACCATCATGCGATCGTACTGCTGATAGAGACCGTAGATATCTGAATACATCTGAGTGAGATTCGAGCTTCCTGTAAACACTTGCGTGGTGCGCTTCAGGTAGTTCAGCGGCTCCGCTTGGATAGTAACCTCTGTAATCAGACCGAGGGCGCCAAGGGAGATTCTGAAGGCCGGCAGTAAATGCGAGTTGTGGGTTTGATTGACAATGGTGATGTTGCCAGTTGCATCCATCACGCGGAAGCCGACCACCTGAGTCGCGAGATTGCCCAAACTTTGTCCAGTGCCATGCGTACCGGTGGTGAATGCGCCGATGTAGTTCTGCACCCTTTCAGTGCCGAGATTTATGACAGACAAGCCCTTCGCGCGAAGCGTGGGCACGAGGTCGATCAGATCCCAGCCAGCACCAAAAGTCACCGTGTTATCTGGGTTGATCGTCATATAGTTAAGGTTGGTAAGACTGATAATGTAGGAGTCACGATTCGTAATGCTGACGTCTACGCAAGTGGTCATGTTGCCAAAAGCATGGCCATTGCCCACGACCTTGAGCATGGACTGAAGCGGAAACTGCTCCTGGACGAATGCCGCGAGCTCTGCCTCGTCCTCCGGCACGAAGAAGCTCGTGGATTCGCAAGTGAGATCAAATTGCCAGTTGTACCAGCGATGTACCGAGACGATTGTTACATTCAGAAGCAAGCAGCAGGAGAAATGCACTCCATACAGGCGATTGTGCGCCTCGAAACGCTCCTACAGACATGACTGTGTACTTGTGCATACTATTGACGCTAAAATTTCTACATGCTTTGCTCTTCGAATACTTAAAGGTTCCGCTTACAGGCAGGAGTGAGCTGATTATTATTATCAGGAATTTAACTTGCCATGTTGTACAACCCGACACGTCGTACAGCCCATAACAATAATATTTTCTATTTATGGTGGATGACGCAATTTTCACAAAACGATAACGGGAATGGCTTTAGGAGGTAATACTAGTAACATTTCGCAGAATCACGACATAAAACACTTTGTTGGAGTTGTTAAAACTTCGCATGACGGGATTGGCTTGAAGAGGTAATAGTAATGTTTCGCTGACTTTCCAACTCATACGACCCCAAACACTGAATGGAAATTCCCAAAATTTGTGCAGGCTTTGGCTTTCGTGTTAAGCTCTTTACATAACGGGAAGGGCTTTAGGAAGTAATAGTAACATTCCGCTGATTTTCAGAATCATACGACCTGAAACACCAAGCATTTCCCAAAACTTGTACAGGCTTTGTCTTTTGTGTTAGTTCTTCTTTGCATAAAGGGAATGGCTTTAGGATGTCATAGTAACGTTTCGCTGATTTTTAGAATCAATTAGCCAATAAGATTGGGAAATGATGTGGGTCACAGATTAAAGTTTCACCACATAGATGGTGAGGGCGTTCATAAAATTGTTGCAGATGCTCACGAGGGACAAGCAAAAGGTGACTTGAAATATTTGCATTGTATTGCGCAAAAACACCATTTATCTGTATTAATCTTTACGTCTGTCATGTAGGATTAGGGGTACACCTTTAGCGTTCAATCGTAGGTGTAGACAATAAAAGAACGCAAAACTTTATGCAGATTAGGTCTTTATTTACATAAAATAGATCCTAGTCCACCACCGAATATCTTGAACACATATCAAATTTGTATAGTTGCATTATAATCGGTTGGTGATAACCACTTTGTCTCGTTCGCTAACATTATCAGCCAATACATATGCATCTATTTTATTGATTTCTAATAATGTTACAGGAATATTAGGAATAAAAAATTCCTGAAGAAGTAAATCGAGTCGAGTGAAATTCCTGAAGTAATCAGTAAGCTACTTATTAGATTTGATAAGTATGACATTTAGTGTTTTTTTTTTTATTCAACTCAAAAGTTTATTTACTATTACTATCAAGATTGGGTTCGTGACAAGCGCGATCCATGGATGTTGGCTAGTATTTCACCTGTTTATTCCAGAATGTCTCGAGAGGCTTGGAATTTACCACCACACAACACCAATGCCAGTGAGAGTGAGAGTGCTAATATAACTTGGATGGAAAATCCCTCTCTCTGCTTTCAGCTATCCTAAGTTGACATTTCTCAAATTCAGAGGAAGCCCCTTCTAACCCGGTTTTCTATTTCCTCTAGAGGACGTGATTTTGATTACCACCAATGAAACTGCCTGTGGTTATAATGGATAGTACGTATTTTAAAATACGAATTGAATAAAGTTTCGCGTTTGAAACCTTGAAGTTGGGGAAGACCGAGGAGTAGTAATTATTTTTGATGAAATTGAGAAGGCTGAGTTTTAGTTATTAGACTTGGGTGGAATATGCTCTATCGCTATTATAACACACTAATTGCAGTACCCCACATTGATGACAAAAGTTTACCAGCTATATAAGCCACTTCTCTTTCTCAGTGCACAGAATTTTTATAATACACAGTGGCTCTCGATATAATGATCCCTCGATAATATGATGTTCGCTAATATGATGCTTTTTCCTGGGCCCAAATCAGTTATAACAATGGCTTTCGTTATAACGAGAACGCTCGATATAATGAACGCTCGATAATATGATCCTTTTGATCCGGCCTGACGACATCATCTTATCGAGAGCCACTGTGTATTATTTTGCAAATAGAAAGATATAACGGATAGTAGTAGATAAATTACCTGTTCTTCGTGGTTGTTGGTACTGTCCAAGAGCTGGTACGTAGTACAGAATTTGAAAGGTACAGTACAGAATTTAGGGGATACGTATCTGAAAATCGAGAAACATAACTTGTTAAAGCCAACAGAATTTGTCACGTGGATTTATTACCCACTTAGCATGATATAGTCGGGGAGAACGCGAATCGATCATTACTTCACTTACAACCCAACCCAGTTCGAGTTGAAAAGTAAAATGGTGTGGTTTTATTATTTTTGGAATGAAATCAATCGAGGAAGCGGCCGAATAATATGTTTTTGATAAAGAGACATAATTCGGGCTTTGCGATTAAATATCATACCCTGAACTTCTTTCTATCTTATCATATGACGTCACTGTCGGAAAACCCTCGAGTCATCACTGCTTTCTTTTATTGAATTTTAAGAGATCAATACCAGATACCCTGCAAAAAAACAGTTGCCATGTCCAGAAGTACAAAACAGGAAATTTTTCAAAATTATCCGATTATGTCATTCAAGGATGCAAGATAACTTTTTCCTCCTTGTTTTCATCCTTATACTCATGAAGGGAAAACGTAATAGATAATAATATTAATAAGCCATGCTAATACACACAGACACATGTACGCATGGATGGATGGATGGATGGGAAATAATTCACATTTCAGTTAATTCGTTGCCTGTGATGGCAAACGTCATTCATTCCGAGTGACTCGGTGAGAAAGTGGGTTTTTGCGTCTAAAAATAAATTATTGTTTACAAAACAATTACTTTAATGCCTGTAAATATGTTTACAATCTTTTTGTTGTTAGGGTCCATTTTTCGACTCCGTTTCCTCTTCCAAAACCGTTGACATTTGTCTAACCTATTTTGGCAGATAGAGAAATGGTTCGTTGCATGGAGAGATCGGTCGATGAAAAACATGTTGTACTACAACGAATTGGCTGAGCTACTTTAAGTGTGGAGGATTGGAGTGGGGGAAAGAGAAAGAGAGAGGAAGAGGAAGGAAGAGGAGAGAGGGAGGGAGGGAGGGAGAGAGGGAGGGAGAGATGGAGAGGGAGGTCGAGTAGATTGAAAAAAGTGTCAAGTTTAATATTAATGAATAGCAGATGAGAAATAATGCAGTATGTTGTGTACGCAGGGAGTGGAACAGCAGTAGATTAAAATTTTTTTTTATGTTTATGACAGACAGTAATTGTGCATACCCATTATGTCGTATTCGCCGAGTAACTAACCCGTAATAGATGGTTATTTGACGATTGTATTAATTTGCTTCTGCATTTGTCTCTTTCGGCAAATTCATACATGAATAATATTCCGATAATGGTCTAACCCCTCTCATTCTTTCTCTGTCTCCCCATCGCTCATTCTCTTTCGGGTTGCTACCCGGTCTGTCGGTAAAGAAAGGGGGTGATGTAAAAGAGGGTGGGAGTTTAATTATAGAACGGATGTATTAAATTTAATATTACAATGATATAATTACTTTTGTTTATGTTATTTTTAATTTTAAAAAAAAATTTTTTTCTCCGCTATTTAGTCAATCATATATAGTTGTTTGTATTTACATATTTACATCCAAGCCTCTTTCTGTGTCAGCTGTTTGTCATTCCTGTTTTAGTGTTCGTTTCAATTAATAACAGGTTACAGTTTATTGTTGCCCATTGTGTAAATAATTATTAACTGTTATCTGTCATATCTTGTATAGTATACTCGCTATTGTCAATTACAACAAATGAAATTAATATATACGGTACGTACACATAGAAGCACATGCATATACGCACACACTGTCTTGCATTTCTCTCCGCGTTCTCATCTTATTGTCCTTTGTACATCTTTTTCGAGCATTATGCAGATTACAATCACAAGAACGAAATGTTAAAGGAAATTGAGAAATTATGGATTGGCAATTGCCTTAAAAGAAGTGACCTTCATAGAAGAGCCTTAGTTGCACACCCAGATAACTATTTGTCCTGTCCAGTCGTTTTAATTATCCTTCCCCCCTCCCCCCTCCCCCCTCCCACTTATTATCAAAGCCAAAACAATATGCACAGATTCCTATTTGTTTGACGTGTACAATGTCCCGCATGCATCTCGCCTATATATGGGTCAGATTGTATCGGGCCTTCATATCCGTCGTTGATTCCCAAGTAAGATTGCGAGTGAGGATTGCAAGTGAGGATTGCAAGTGAGGATTGCAAGTGAGGATTGCAAGTGAGGATTGCGAGTGAGGATTGCGAGTGAGTATTGCAAGTGGGGGTTGAACAATACGTATTATGTAATTGTGGCTGATGATGGAATTCTCAAGACAGGGAGTGAGGCATATATAAACATTGAGTATTGATGAGATGTTGGATTGTGTGCTTGCGCCTAATAGAAATTTCTATTAACATTACTGTTACACATCTGAGCTGATCATGGTTAGTAAGCAACACTATGCTGTATTAGTTATAGTGTAAAATGCAATGCGTTATATCAAGATCATGGGATGGCATCATTAAGGCAGTTAACAAGAACATCTTACTCATCATCATCATCATCATCGCCATTCTCTCACGGCATGAGTGTGTGTATGTATAAAGCATTCCCAAAATTGTTTTCGCTTTGGTGACAGGATTCGTTTTACATGTTTTCGGACTCTATTTTCCATCATCTATATGGATTGGTTTTCATCGCTATCTTTAAACCACTTTGCAATTGGCTGCCATCATCATTGTATAGATCATTCCAAACAGGGAATAAGCGTAATATAACAATTATTAATAAGGTACTAAAAAGTAATTGATGATAAAAGTCGTCATTTTTACGTACAGGTTAATATATCAATCATTTCTTAAATTGTAAAACAGCTAAAAAACGACCCTTAAATTGTAACAGTTGGGAATAAACTACGTCTTCCTTAGCGTTAAATGGTTGGAGCAATAACAGATGTGCAGTACGAATGTAAGTATGTATATGTAATCTGTGTATGTGAATGTATATCTATATCTATGTATATGTGAATGTATATCTATATATGTGTATATGTGTGAATATGTAACATGCTTGTTTGATAAATGAAGTAGATACTGACACACATCGATAAACATCACAGGATAGTAACAAAATAGGCTTCCCTATTGTCAAAATTAATATGAAGAACCGGTTTTTTAGATTTGAATTAATTTAATGCTTAATTCAAACACACTTGATTATATAAACCAATTGTCAAAAACGGGACGAATAGTGAGTGGGTTGCCAAAAATACCGATTAACCTGCATTTGTCGATTGATTCCTCCTTTTGGATCCAAACGAATAAGCAACTTGCATCAACCGTAAACACAGAGCATTCGCTGGATATAAATGGAATCAGTAATGGGGAATAAAAAAAAAACAGGATGGGAAAAGTGCCATGGTGTGACATTTGTATAGTAGATAAGAGAGTGGGTGCGTAAGTGAGTTAGTTGGTTAGGGTTAGGGTTAGGGTTAGGGTTAATGGGTGGGTGAGTTGGTCAGTGAGTTGGTCAGTGAGTTGAGATGGTGAGTGTGATAGTGAGGTTGGCGAGTGAGATGGTTGGTGAGATGGTTGGTGAGATGGTTGGTGGGATGGTTGGTGGGATGGTTGGTGGGATTGTTGGTGAGATGGTTGGTGAGATGGTTGGTGAGATGGTTAGTGGGATTGTTGGTGAGATGGTTAGTGAGATGGTTGGCGAAATTCGCTCACTCGCTCACTAGCACACTCCTGGCACACTCCTGGCACACTCCTAGCACATACTCACTAAGCATATTTTGTTATTATATTTTGTACAGTTTTTGTTACCGTATTTATCACCGCACATATATAATTATTGTATATCACTCCGGGTTAGGTTACTTGCTATTATCGCTATTATCTATACCGTCCATTTTTGACCGTCTTTATCTGCTATTAGCCAGATTGCCATACACAGTATAGCACCCATTTCCTGTTTCGGTTTCTCATTCCAAATTAAGTCTCCCTCTGCAACACCCCCTCAAATTTCATACTCGCAATTTTCATACAACTATATTTTCATTCCACACACGTTCACCCAACACATATAGACTCAACTGTCATATAGTCTACGGGTGCATTCCTGTACACATAGAACATACGAGAATGTAAGTATGTCTTTACTTTTACTAGACGAAAAATACCCATAAAAATGTCGGAGAATTTGTCAATATAATGTTCTAAACATATTACATATCATTGTAACATGTTACGCGATAATCCCCAACGCTACAATTAGACCCCGTCTAGCAACCGCGCATTTACACCCACAAAGCGTTCTTACACACAGACGACTAAACGCCTGCACCAATACCTATAACTGCATACTCTCCACATACCCGTCTGTACAATATAATGTCGGTTATGTGTTAACTAACCTACATTTCTAAAAAGTATCGTCGCTTTTTCTACATACTCAATCGTTCTGCTACACAACTCTTGTCGAGACAACTACTTACATTACCGCTAAATATTTTACCATCCATACTTAGGACAGACCAAAACACATCTACACAAATACCCATCACATTTAATACCTCTCGTCGAACATCAATGTCATTATCATCCATACTCAACACTGAAGCATCGACAGGCGCATCCAAAGACACTTATGATAACACTTGGCGTCGATTCTCAGCACCCGATATAGCCACCGCATTATCCTCTCACTCATCCTCCATGACTTCGTCCACTACCGCCTCATCCCCATCCTCCTCCTCCGACCTGACCATAATAAATTACTATCAACCTCGTCCAAAAGCCGACCAATCTGTGATGACACCGCCACAGACCCCGGGGCTCAAATCCCCAACAAGCTTTGGGTTTCCATCGAATGCGGACGATGCGGAGGGAGCAGGCCAAAAGGATTCTAGAGGCCACATGAGACGGAGATCATTGCCCCAGCCACAGCGTCGACAACATACTATACAATTTCAACAAAAAGTAAGAAGGAAGAGGACTACGCCTGAGCAGCTGGAGGATCTGCTGGCAATGTTTCAGCAGACTGATACGCCTAATTATGAAATTAGAGAGAGTCTGGCCAAGAAACTGGGAATGACCAACAGAGAAGTTCAGGTAAAAATAAAAGTGGATGAATAAATAAATCTAATATTATGTTTTGCGATATGTTTATTCAACGGACCACATTCAATTCCCTGATTGCCCCACTCCACCTTCAGGTATGGTTCCAAAACCGCCGCGCAAAGACGAATCGTGCGAAAGCAAGCGATAACTCTAGCCCGTACCAACACCACCGCTTTCTGCACCATCACGCGATTTCTCCGTCTCAAGCTGGAAGTAGCGGACACGCGTCTTCCCCTTCGACACATCATGGAGGATACACGTTCGTACCAATGTTCACCAACGGTTCTCCTTCGTCCTCGTCCGCCAAAGGCCGAAGCGCGAGGAGACATTCGTATCAACACCCGGGAACTGCAGTTGCAAAGAGAGTTGGAAACAGACCGAGAGCAACAACGGTTAGTGGTGTTACGCCAGTCGTCGAAAATGGAATAGGAATTAATAGTGTCGAGAATGTAGCAAGAATGCAAATGCAGAGAAGCAACCAGCAGTTGCAGTATAACAACAACAACAACAACAGCCAATTTTCACAGGGCTTGCAACAGCAACAGCAACAGCAACAGCAACAGCAACAGCAACAACTACACCAGGGAAAGGTTGCTATAATGCCTCCACCGCCAATCAAGATCCTCCCGCTCACCGCAGCCAACTCACAACCGACTTCTCCATCCCTTGCGCTCGCTTCTCTATTTGCCCAGCCGTCCCCGCAATCACATCCCACGACTCCACGTCATCTTCATCCGTCAATGAATACCTCTTACTCGTCGTTTCCGCACCTATACGCATCGACCACCACCACCACCACCACCATCGCCGCTTCAACTCAACTTCCTCCAATCTCACCCATTTCACCTGTAACGCCCGAGTCTCCATTCACCTTGGGCGATGCCGCAACGCCCCTTTTGCCGCGTCCGAGAAATCCGAGTAGCGGCCAGGGTAATTCGGGTGTCGTTTTGCCTTCGTTCAAAGATATTGCTAATGCATATCGTGAGACCACTGAAGGAGATGGACCGAAAACAGAGACCATGGAGTTGGAGGGATACGAGGATGACTTGTCTAATGCAAGAGACGGTATTGATGTGCTAGCTACGGCCGCAAAATATTTGTTGGATCGCGAAGAGCTAAAAGGAAAACGACAAAAACTTGCTCAGGATAATAGTAACAAAGATGGTGGCGACGGCGATAGCCGTGAGGCGTCTGAGCGACTTTGTGATAATGGGAGTGGTAATAGCAGTGGTAATGAAGTAATAGGAGGCGGTGGACGTGCGGAAGAAAATGCAGGGTCAGAAGAGGAAATGCACGATCGTGCAGAGAACTGTGACGGCGAGTGCGCGTTAGCATTGGGAAAGAGGAAACGTCGAGATGGCTCCAACGAGAATGATGATGATTATGATGATGCTGGCCTAGATGGTCACGATTGTCAAAGCGAAAAGTCGGACGCAGTTGGCCACCCAGACGGTAAACGTCCGTCTAGACCTTGGTTGTTGTGATGATGAACGCGCGCGCGCGCGCGCGAGGAGTCGTGGTTTTCACAAAAACAAAAAAAAAAAAAAAGACGATGCTGATCGAGGGTGGCGGTTTTATGTGCCTATATTTCCCCCACCCGTTATTAAAAATGGTTTCTTTTTTTGGTTCTTTTTCCCTTTGGTCTTATTTTTCTTTCCAAAACGCTGGTTCCTCTCGATATTTAAAAAAACAAAAAGTTCGCTTATTGCATACATTATCTTAGACTTGCTTTTACGAATATACAGATACAATATATAAATGTTTTTTCTTTTTTACCTCAATCATTTTTCGCTTTCTGTTGTAGTAAGTAATAGTCTGTAGCCTATTGTGTTTTATTATTATATCAACTTTTTACATTACTACATATTGTTTTTTTTTCTCGACAAACAAAGAACAATTAAAAACTTTTGCAGGTAAAAATATTTCTAGATTTACCTGCATTTCTAGCGTTTTTTTTTTTCGCATTCAATTTTGCCATTCCGGATAATCTTTTTGCGGTTTTCTTTACTTTTCTTTTTCTAACCTCTGTTGGATTAAATCCGAGTCGAATAATATATCGTATCATTTATTGTACTCTCAGATTTCCTTTTTTTTTTCTCTTGTACAAACTTTTTCTTTCTCTTTTGTAAAATGGAAAATTTTTTTTCATTGTCTTCTGTGTTCGTGTTTGTGTTTGTGTTTGTGTTGTGTTTGTGTTGTGTTTGTTTATTTTCTTTTTCTTACAAAAAAACCAAAATTCTTTGTTGTTTTGGATGAGAATTTGAATACGCAGTTCTATATGTTATAATCTAACCACTTCTTGTCCAAATTTCTTGTATTTTTCCTGTTGGGTGTCTTTCTCTTTTTTTTTTTTCCTTGGGATTTTTTTCCTCCTTTTTTCATTATCCTTCTTTCCCTTGTATATAAATTTTCTCTATCAGAGGAAGCTCTTTTTTTTAAAGGTATGAATACATTTTTCAGTTTCAAACAATTTTGGATTAAATTATTATTACCTCTGTAGCAATCCCCTTCACCCTTTTGTTTTTTCTTTATTGTAGACAAACATCCAATTTGCTTGATTAGAAAGATCACCAAATTTTTCTTGTTTTGTGTTTGTACGTTAACTGTTTTTTGTTATCGTTCGTCGTTTCATTTCTTTTAGATCATCAATATATAAGCCGCTCGTCACCCATAGTTTTACTTCTAGCAAGTTTTGGTGACTTTGGTGCGGACCACAAGCCAATGGACAATTCCTGAAATAAAAAGTTCCGAATTATATTTAAAAATACTACCATGTTCCACGTTATATGGAGTTTGAAAGTGGTAGGAGTGAAATCCCTATCCAAACAGAAATGGCATATACAATGTGAACCCCGTTACAACGAAGAGGGCGGTAAAAAATACTGGAAAATTCGAGGTTTACATAGTAAATTCAGTTTAACGGGTATTGCTGGTTTTGACCCTATCTTCGTTATAACGGGGTATCACTTAGTGCTTCGTTATAACGGGGTTGATTTTGTATACTTTTATCGATTCAACCAAAATACTCGGTAAATTTATTAGATTCGGTTTCTTTCATTCTTTCAATTTATTTTATTATAGCTAAATGCAATTTTTAAAAGAACACAGTCGTACTCAACATCCTCATTAACTTCCCGTCTTCTCCGAATCACCACCACTACTCTCATTTGATGTCTTGTTTTGTTCAGCACGCTAAATATAAAAAAATTAAATTAGCCAAAGTTCAAGTATACACGACTAGCAGCATTAACCCTTTGTACCTTCTTATAAGCTATTTCGAATAGTTTCAACGCATCAAGTTGAAACGCGCTGGTCTTTTGCCTAATCTCTTCAGCCTTGATTCCGTCAGTCTGAGACTTGGCTACTATTTCACGCAATTCGTTAATTTTCCCCTGGAATATCTCTACTTCTTTAGGATCAAGCTGGTCTTTGAATTCATGAAGGTTTTTCTCTGTATCGTGTGCTGTAGTATCAGCTGCATTGGCTGCTTCTATTAACTCTCTTCGTTCACGATCACTTTCAGCATGTTGTTCGGCTTCGAGGATCATGTTTTCGATTTCATCTTTGCTTAGACCAGATGAAGCGGCAATGGTAACTTAACGTATACAAAAATACAAACACAATTGATTAATAAGCGAATAACAATAACCAATATTAAATGCACCCGTTGGCTGCAATTTAACATCCCCGCTCTCATGCTTACTCGACTGATCCTTTCCGGTAGCCTTATCTGAAGCACCAACATTGACAATCCCATCAGCATCTATGTCAAACGAAACTTCAATTTGTGGTATTCCCTTTGGTGCAGGCGGAATTCCTGTCAATTGGAAGTTCCCTAACAATTTGTTATCCTTCACCATTTCACGTTCTCCTTGGAATACTTTGATATCGACTGTAGTTTGTCCATCCGCGGCCGTAGAGAATACCTGAGACTTTTTCGTGGGAATGGTAGTGTTGCGATTAATTAATCGAGTGAAAACACCACCAAGGGTTTCTATTCCAAGAGATAGAGGCGTCACGTCCAAGAGAAGGATATCAGTCACTTCACCAGCTAAAACACCGCCCTATGTGGTAGCGAATCCAGTTTTCAGAAAGTTAGTCAATGTTTTGGTTGTAAGTGAATTCCCATCTGGACTTTCTCCAAACTATGTTTCCGTTCATTACCTGAATAGCGGCACCAATCGCAACAGCCTCATCGGGATTAACAGCCTTCGAAGGCTCCCTGTTAAAAAGCCCTCTGACTGTTTCAACAACCTTTGGCATTCTAGTCATACCACCAACAAGTATAACCTCGTTTATATCTTTTGTAGAAACATTAGCATCTTTCATTGCTGACTTGCATGGTTCAATGGTCTTATCAACGAGAGGCTTTGTTAAGGATTCAAAGGTCGCACGGGTAAGTTTCATATTAATGTGTTTTGGTCCTGTCGCATCAGCTGTAATGAATGGGAGATTTATGTCGGTCTATACGATGGTAACAAGAAGCATTAGTCCATATATAAAAAATTTGAGCAAAGTCTCAATGTAAGGAATTCTTACTTGAAGAGTGGACGAGAGTTCAATTTTGGCCTTCTCAGCTGCTTCACGAATACGCTGAATCGCTATACGGTCTGACGATAAATCGATTCCTGACTATAAGGCAAGATATATTGATTTCTTAATTAATTCCCAACTTTTGTAGTGGATAGAAAACTCCAAAGTGAATAAATCTTCAAAGACTCATACCTCCTTCTTGAACGAGTCAACCAGATTTCTGACTAATGCAATGTCAAAGTCTTCGCCACCCAAATGAGTGTTCCCGTTCGTTGACTTTACTTCGAATACACCCTTCTGGATTTCCAAAACACTGATATCAAAAGTCCCGCCACCAAGATCATAAACCGCTACGACTTTGTCGCCGGCCTTATCAAGGCCATAGGCAAGTGCCGCTGCAGTTGGTTCGTTTATGACACGTAAGACATTAAGACCGGCGATTTGGCCAGCATCTTTCGTGGCTTGTCGTTGTGAATCGTTAAAGTAAGCTGGGACAGTAATTACTGTAATGGGAATGGATAAGTGAGAACTTGCGGCTTCTTCTTATAACATGACAATGTAAGAGAACAGCTTACCGGCATTCCTAACAGGTTTACCAATATATGATTCTAAGGTGTTGAAGAATCAAGTTATGTCAACACGTGTTGATAACGCATATTATCACCCCATGCTACTCAAAATTCTCACGCTTAACCCCATCCGACTCTTTTCCTTTGCTCGACCTACCAGCAGTCTCTTTCATCTTTCCAACGACAAATGCCCCAATCTGAGCCGGACTATATCTTTTGCCTCGTGACTCTAACCACCCATCACCGTTGTTGTGTTCAACAATTTTATAAGGGACTTGTTTAATATCTTGTTGAACTTCCGCGTCTTTAAACTTTCGGCCAATGAGACGTTTTGTGGCAAAAAATGTATTCTCTGGATTCACTACAGCCTAAAGTGAAGAGAGATATCATGTGATTTGATTTGGTTTGATTAGCTTGAACCTGTTGTGCTCCTTCACTACACAAATGCAAGATTGCTTCCGTAAACCCACGATACGGAAAAGTCACGCGCACCATTCAAACTCCCTGCTCACACACCTGTCTCTTTGCCGGTAAGCCAACTAACAGTTCGCCCTCTTTTGTAAATGCAACGACGGACGGTGTCGTTCTTCCGCCTTCGCTGTTTTCAATAACACGCGGTGTTTTGCCTTCCATTGTAGCTACACAACTATTTGTCGTTCCCAAATCGATACCGACTACATGGCCTTGAACTTTTGAGCTATGAAAAGACGAGCAGTTAAGATACAAGTAATCAGAACAAATCAAAGAAAAAAGTTTGCAATATCCAAATTGGTAACAAAGTTGTCTGATAAAATATATCAATCTATTGAAAACGCCAAGCAGCAAAATCGTTTATTTGCCACGCAATTTACCTATACGCTCGCAAACTGGATTTGAGTGCTTCATTTCTTAGAGACTAATAAATCAACGGAATAGTGTATATGAATAAGATTTGATCAACAAATTCGATCATTTACGAGAAAATCCTATGTGATAGGATTCATAGCAAGCAGGTAGCTCGAGAACATACGGTGTTTCTTATACAGTTAAAAGCTCCTTTTGACGCGTGGTTTCTTGCCACATATTGTCCGAGTCGTAATAATGACATTATGATGTTGTATTTATGAGAAAGGAAAAAAAACTCTTCTTCCGAGAAGAAAAAGAAAATTTTTTGGGTTTAGATCAAAAAGCAGGAATGTTGTGTGGGAGACTGAGAGTAAAAATTGAAGAAGAAAATTTTTTGGGTTCAGATCGAAAAGCATGGAATGAAAATCTGTAATCTAAGTCACGTGAAATCAAGAGGATCGATAAATGAACCAAGTACAGTCACTGTAGTACGAATATTTATTTTCCATTGCGCGCCTCATGACGGAACAATCTAGTCAATTCGAGGCATTGTCCCTAACGGAACATGATCTCGGAATCCAACGGCGCCGCGGCGACGGATCAACAACCTCAGAAGTGTCAACTTCAGCTTCGTCACCGGGAATCCATTGGGATCCTAAAATGGAGATCGCCCTTTTCAACGCTGTTATGAAGAATAAACCTGTGGGTACGGTACGGAATTATTTTTGGTCTATCCGAGTAGTCTGATTAGGCTAACTGTTTATGCGTATGTTCTTTCCTCAAGGCATGCACAAGCATTTCCGCATGCTTAATATACACAGAGATTTTAATGCAAACAGCCCAGTAAAGCTTACAATACCAGAACTTTGGGAGAGATTATCTCAGTATTTTGCTTTGGATCTGTTAGACGATATGGTGAAGATATATTTAGGCACAGATTAAAAATATTCCGATCGAATCTATTAACATGCTTTTTGTTTCACACCAGGAGTATGAGTACGAGGACGAGGACAATGAAACGAATTCGCTAACCGAATTCAGTTTACCAAATGAAGAATATGATCATCTTATACCAGATCAGAGAAAACCATCCACGTCTCGTGGGAGCACACCACCACCAATACAGACGAGGCCTGGTAGGAGGCGTGACTCTTCCCCGACACCCTCCAGTACGCCTTCCTCAGTAACAACGCCCGAAACAGAAGGTCGGATGTTTTTATCTTTATCCATGTCTGTTAGTATTTTAACCATACTTTGTTTATAATGCTCCCGATCTTGCTGTTAATCAGAGGCCGCAACAAGGAAGCCAAAACGTCCAACGCGTGCTCCAAAGAAATCGGAACTAAACGAACCGCCCACACCAACGAGGATGGCTGCACGTCGTGGTCGTGGCCGACGTCCATCAGATACTTCGGCTAGCGCGGCTGCGACTACCGGCCCGACCTCTGGAGGTTTGCCTAAGCGTGGTCGGGTAAAAAGGTTGGCCGATGATATATTTCGAAATGTCTATTTGAGCAAGGCTTTTGTAAGCCTTTAAAACTTGAGAAGAGAGCCAGAACTTATAAAAACCAAAACTTAGAAAAATTTCACTGCTAACGTGTTTTATTGTCGTCCTTTAATACTTTTTCTTTTTTTCCTATCGAACATTAATCTTGTGATTTTTGGACAACCATTAGTAAACAGTAGCCGTTCCTACAACTGAGCCATATATGACTCAATCGGTATTACGCAATCGAAACAATTTATTCCAACGCTTTGCTTTCTCTGTAAAACGATCTATTGCGCGTTGTGTGGAGAAATAACAAGTAATCTGATTGTATCTATAAACGTCGTTACCTTTACGTTAAGGTTCGGTGGAAGGGGAAGAAAGGTTGGAGCTATATCGAAATAAAAATACACTTTCTGTATGGATAAAGGTCTATTGGGTTGCTTGTCCTACAGAACCCAGGTATTAGTATTTTCATTCAACTCGTTTGTCATTTAGCTATTTAGTATTCTTACGTTTTGTATTAACAGATTTAAAATAAGCCGAATAAAGCGAATTGAACAAAAACCGTTATTCACAGAGAATGTTTTCGATAGAGGAGCATATGTTCTAATTCGAGGATGTGGGAGTTCCCTGCACAATAACAATTCGTAGAATTTGTTGCTTATACGTAGGGTGTCTGAAAAGTTTTGACAATATATTTATTTCTTGAAGATGTGCATCTCAATTGTTTTCGTAAATTTGATATCTGATTTTTTAAATCATCAATTTCATTCTCTTGATCAATAATTGCATAAGTTTACGAATTTTTCTCTCATTCGTACGATTTATGTCTACCTCGTGATTTAACTCATTTCGCAATTCTATATTTGTTTGCGCGAGTTGCACCGGTGCTGGGTCCAACTGATTTCCATTATATGCTTGTAAAAAAAATGCGAAATGAATGCTGGAGTATGTAGTATAAATTATTTCTGCATTCAATAATATTAAAAATGAGTAACCCAACCATATATATAGATCCCGGTGAGGAAATAGCTCTATGTTGCGGGCTTATATTCTATCAGCCTACCGGTTATCACTCTAATCCTCGGAGCTTGTGGAAGGATCTTGCACGGGAAGGATTTCAATTTCCATTCGAGATCAGAATGAATGGCAAAAATACGCTCCACCGCCGAAAGATACGCTTAGCTAAAGTCCTCGATTATTTAAACGCGTCTCATTAGAGCTCCGGGATCTTTGGGCATGGAAACCCAGAAAGAGCCACAGTTAGAAGATCAATTGATTTGTAATAATTGTTGAAGTTGGTGATACGAGTAACAGATGTCCGATTGCTGATATTAATATGACAAAAGCAGACAATTATTGATCTAATTAACACGTAATGTGTAGGGGCTACCCATGACTCTTATTTTGAAAAAATGGTACTTACGTACCTGAATCATCCCTATAGGCCTGCTTTGCAATAAAAAGTTCTGGCAATTTCTGGTCCTTTACCGTCCAAGTCTATAAATAAATTCTGATCTGTGATTTTTTATATAAAAAGGCGGAGAAATAATATCTGTGACCCCTTTACTCCTTCGTTATAATGATTAGCGATTGGGAGGGATAAAACATTTAACAAACTTTAATAAATCTTACCCACGATAAATAAAAAGATTCATAGTTACAAGTTCGGTAGCACGAAGGAATGATTTGCAAGAAAGTCAAATCTGTACCCAAATCCTTGCCGATCAATATGCGACGCGCTATGGTTCTTTTTCCTGTCCGTACTTACGAGTCATAAGGCAGACATATCTGTATAATGAAGTAAGAAAGGTTTGCCGATGATTTTTATAACGATATAACTTGTCCCAGACCGCCAGAAATTAGATAAAGTCTACTTGTTGATTATTAATCGTTTATATTTTGGGGATTAAAAAATCTTTTCTGACGATCACCTGTTTTTGCGAATGCACCATTTTCATTTTTTCGTTATAGTTCCCGAGAAAATAGGATCCACGTACTCCCTCCCTCTTTGATAGCATCATATTTTATCTGTTTCTCTAACATTTCTGATTAGTTATACGTATCTAAAAAATAATCAATAAAGCATAAAGAAAATCACGTGACTGCCACTTTTTTTCCGCTATATTACCTCAGAGAATAAAAGTTCCTCGCGATAGGTATTACCTTGACAATTTCTTTTTAGCAAACATAGTAGCATTAATCCTATAAAGCGTGTAAATTCTGGATATTTCTTGAATATTTTGAGACAACGCCACCGGAAAAATACCGATTTCTCGATTATTACCAGTATTGTAAAAGCCGGGATGGTTTCGCAGGTACTTTTTGCCAAGAAGCAAAAAGACTTCAAGTTGCCTTGGAACACCTGGTGAAAAATGAATCGGATTTAAGGAAACAAAAAGCTCAATGTTTGCTTGATGTTTTTGAGGCGAGTATCTTTTTTCATTTCATTTTGATTACTGGCAAACAGTATGGAGGGCCCTGTTAAGTCCTGAGAAAGGGAACATACTTCCACGACTACGGTGAGCGCGTACGCTCCGCTCACTTTATGGCGTTCATTAGATCCCGTTGTGGTCTACAAGTTTTGTAGAGGTGGGGGCCTCCAGCAGTCCTGAGAAGGGGTAACACTCACACAACTATGGCGGGTGCCTATGTACCACCCGACCTTACGGCGTTCATTAGATCCCGTTGTGGTCTGCTTTGCCAGGGGGTTGCCTGCTTTCCAGTGAGGATAAGATAGCAACAAATTGTGTATTATAAATCTTGTAGAACCATCGAAAAAAGAACGCGGATATCGATAAATTCTGGAATGAAGCTGAAGGGGAATCTCTGGATATAGAGCATGCCAAAGAAAGAAAAAAAACAATTACGGCTGGACCAGGTCAATAATTTATACTTACTTTGATTATGAAAAATGTCAATACGGAGTTGGTATGGCAATTTACATGTAACATTGTTAAAAATGATCTACTAATTCAACAAACTTTATGGTTTATTCGTAGGTCGAGTCAGCTACTTATTAATAGCATCGACCCATTTGTATGCGATTTTGGCCTCTCACGATCAGTAAATTCACGCGAGTCAAATTCAACCATTCGAGGCACTTTACCCTATATTGCACCGGAAGTCTTCCATACTCTCAAATTTACTCAAAAGTCAGATGTGTATTCTTTTGGTATTATTATGCATTTGATGGCCACTGGTGAACCACCATTTAGAGATAGGCAGTTTGATACAAGTTTAATATGTGAGATTATGGATGGACTACAACCACCAATGCCTGATTATGCACCAGAAGAATACAAGAAACTTGGCGATGGTGTTGTGATGCTGATCCTGATGAGTGTCCAGATGCAAAGACACTTTGGCATGATATTTGCAAGCTTATTGAAGAGTTAGACAAGGACCATTCTGATGACAACACGTGAAATGCCGTTTATCATAATGATGTAAAACCCTTATCATGTCTTGAGAAGGAGAGTAAATATTTTAGTACACTTTTACCTACCAGAGATCTGCCAAAACTGAGAAATAGCTACGATTTGGATTCAGCTGCAGAGCATCTGGTTACATGTTGATATAAATGAAGTCAATTTACAATATTAATATGTTCCATTGTTCTATAATTTAATGACTCAAACTTTCGAATAAACTTGTAATTTGCTTTTAGTGGTAGTCTTTTCTAAAAAAAAACAAGTGCTCTGCTCACTTTTTGGGTAATTTAATGGTTACAGTTTGGTAAACTTTTTTCTCTTGGCCAAGAAATTAGTAAA